AATGGGGATTCGGGTGGACGTGGAAAAGGAAGAGTTAAAAATCAGGCTTTGTGCCCTTACAGAGGTGGACGAGAAGCAAATTAACCCCGAAGTGTGGTATACTCCCGAAACGGTTGGAAAACTGGATATTGAACCGTTTGAGGTGGTTATTAAGAACCCTGAGATTCCAGTGAGAATTAAACAATATCCTTTATCTAATGAAGGGAGGAGGGGACTAAAACCTGAGATCGAGAGACTATTGGGAAAGGGGGTACTCGAACCCTGCATGTCCCCTTTTAATACCCCGATTTTACCAGTAAAAAAATCCGATGGTAGCTATCGGTTGGTGCATGACCTAAGAGAAATCAATAAACGGACTGTCAGCCGGTTCCTGGTGGTGGCAAACCCACACACCCTGTTGAGTCAATTGGGGCCCGAGAACCAATGGTATAGTGTAATAAATCTTAAGGATGCATTCTGGTCATGCCCTCTAAAGGAGGAATGTAGAGATTATTTTGCCTTTGAGTGGGAAGACCCAGACACTCATAGGAGACAGCAGTTAAGGTGGACTGTACTTCCCCAAGGGTTTACGGAATCCCCAAACTTATTTGGACAAGCCCTAGAACGGATTCTACGGGAATACCGGTTGCAAGATGGGGTCGTGCTAGTACAGTATGTGGATGACTTATTGTTGGCAGGAGAGAATCAAGAGACAGTCAGAAAAGAAAGCATACGGTTGTTAAATTTCTTGAGCCTTCAAGGCCTCAAGGTATCACGGTCAAAACTACAGTTTGTGGAAGAGGAGGTAAAATATTTAGGACACTGGATAAGCAAGGGGACTAAGAAGTTAGACCCCGAACGAGTAAATGCGATTTTATCAGTGAAAGCCCCGAGGAGTAAACGACAGATTAGACAATTGTTGGGGCTATTTGGGTATTGTAGGCAGTGGATCGAGAACTTTAGTGCGAAAGCACGATTTTTGTATCAAAAGTTAACTATGGATGGATTGCTTAAATGGACCCAAGAGGATGAAGAGAGATTAGAGGGTCTCAAGGCCGATCTAGTTAACGCCCCTGTCTTGAGTCTGCCTGATGTGAGGAGACCCTTTTATTTATTTGTGGCCACTGAGGAGGGGACAGCATACGGGGTTTTGACCCAGGAGTGGGCAGGGAAAAAGAAACCCGTAGGGTATATTTCCAGATTATTAGACCCCGTCAGTAGAGGGTGGCCCACCTGTTTACAGGCAGTCGTTGCTGTAGCCCTGATAGTGGAAGAAGCGAATAAGGTAACATTTGGAAGTGAATTAAGGGTGTTCTCCCCCCATAATATTCGGGGAGTTCTCCAACAAAAGGCTGAAAAATGGATCACCGATGCTAGGCTTTTAAAATATGAGGGGATCCTAATCTATTCCCCTAAACTGCAGATCGGAACAACGAGCTTGCAGAACCCGGCACAATTTTTGTATGGGGGTCCTGAAGAAGAGTTAACACATAATTGCCTCCAAACCATTGAAGAACAAATGAAAATTAGGCCAGATCTAGAAGAGGTAGAATTGGGAGAGGGAGAAAAGTTATTCGCTGATGGGTCATCTCGAGTAATAGCAGGGAAAAGGAAGTCAGGATATGCAATTGTGGACGGGGGCAGCCTAGAAGTAAAGGAATCCGGACCCCTCAGTCCTAGTTGGTCGGCGCAGGCATGTGAGTTATACGCAGTACTTAGGGCATTGGAACTTTTAAAGGACAAAGAAGGAACCGTGTACACTGATTCAAAATATGCATATGGAGTGGTACACACTTTTGGAAAAATTTGGGAGGAACGGGGACTTATTAATTCTCAAGGAAAGGGTTTGGTTCATGAGGAACTGATTGTCAAAATTCTACAAGCAATAAGAGGGCCCAAGCGAATAGCTGTGGTACATGTTAAGGGACACCAAAGAGGAACGACCCCTGAAATTCGAGGGAATAATCTTGCTGACCAAGAAGCCAAGGCGGCAGCACTACTTGCTGTGACCATCACCCCGCCGGCAGGTGAAACGCCGGCAAGAATCCTAAGCCCACAGTTTAGTAAACCAGAAATGGATAAATTGAAGGAAATGGGAGTAGTGGAAAAAGAGGGTAATTGGGAACTACCCGATGGGAGACAGGTGTTACCAAAAGCACTAACATGGAGAATAATGAGAGGTATGCACTCAAAGACTCATTGGGGTGTCCAGGCGCTGGTTGATCAATTCGCAATAAAGTACATGTGTATTGGGGTTTATAATGTAGCCAAGGGAATCGTACAGGGGTGCCTAACATGTCAGAGGATCAATAAGCAGCATCTTAGAGAAAAAGTACAAGGGGGACGGGAATTGGCACTCCGACCATTCGCCAAAATACAGATTGATTTTACTGATCTCCCTAAAGTAGGGCGATATAAACACTTACTTTTATTGGTAGACCACCTCACTCATTATGTCGAGGCGTTCCCTACTGCTAGGGCAACTGCCAATACAGTGGTAAAAGTACTTTTAGAGCATATCATACCGCGATATGGAAATATTGAAACTATTGATTCAGATAGAGGCCCACATTTCGTTTCCAAAGTAGTAAAAAAACCTCTAGCCCCTTTTGGAACTAAATGGGAGTTCCATACCCCTTGGCATCCCCAAAGCTCCAGGAAAGTAGAACGAATGAATGGAGAAATAAAGAAACAATTAACTAAGTTAATGATAGAAACCAAAATGTCATGGGTAAAATGTTTGCCAATTGCTTTATTAAATATTCGGACTCAGCCCCGAGCGGATACTGGAATTTCCCCATTTGAAATGTTATATGGCATGCCCTATGATATGGAATGCCCAGCCAATTACCCTACTTTAGATGAAGATAGTATTAACCCTTATATTGTTCAGCTGATGAAAAGGAGAGAGCGATTACGAAAGAAGGGAATGGTGGTACAGAAGCCACCCCTAGATATATCCATACATTCAGTAAAGCCAGGTGATATGGTATTAATCAGAGCCTGGAAAGAATCCTCTCTCACTCCTATGTGGGAGGGGCCCTTTCTTGTTTTACTTACCACAGAAACTGCTGTCCGGACTGCAGAACGAGGATGGACGCACATCTCACGAATTAAAGGGCCTTTACCCAGAGATCAGTGGGAAGTAGCAAAGACTTCAGAAGACTTAAAACTAGTGATAAGGAAGAAAAAGGAACTGCATGAATGAATGAATCCTTTTGGAAGAACGGTAAAACCTAGTTTATACCAGTGGTTCCAGGTATCATCTGGAGATAATTTACAGGTGGTGAACTTTACTCCTTGGCGTACAGAACGGATACCTCATCAAACCAGCGGAGCTGGTATATATATATAAATTAACAGGAACTCCTCAGTACTTACCTTTTTGTTGTGAAGTGGAGACTGAAGTCCCTAGACCACCGGAATATTTTAGCGGGATTCTGTGTTTAAAGCATTGTAATCACAACCATTAGAGTTAGGTGTTTTGTAACTGTGTAAAGTACGGTCAGAAATGGTATTGTAGTTCTAGAAGGAGACATTATTATTGTATGAAGTGTCGAGAGTACCAATTCCCCCGTGGAGACCAATTGAATAGAGTGGAAATTAATAGACTAATTTGTGGGTGGGAATTATTAGTACCTGAAACCTGGGAAGTATATGAGAACGATTGGCCTGAAACTATAAGGCAGTGTGCTATCAGATTCGTGTGGAAGCGAGCTAGATGTATCACTAGAATGGCTTCTGCTCTTAAATAAAATTTGTGTAAGGAATGCTGGTGGACACACTGTAGGAACAGCCACCCATTTAGGGACGGCTGTACACAGTGTACCCAAAGGAGAAGGGGACTAAACACGTCTGCCTTACGGGGCGGGGGGTAGCTACAGGGAATCCCTAACCAACCTGAAGCTCCTATAACCCTGAATCCTGCGAGTGTCTTGTCATTTCCCAGGTAATATAAAATGTTCTGCACAGTTCCCGGGGAGGAGCTAAATCCCGTAAGGGCTTTGCAAGTGGAAAACACGCCCTTAAGAAGTACGACTGCTGCCGAGAAGATGAGAAACCTCGCTGCTCCAGGCACCGGAGTAGGCGAAGTAGGCAGAGGCGTACGGAAAAGGAAGTGTGAGTACACCGTGAGATCATCGGCGGGTAATAGCAAGAAACAGACACTTCGAGAGGAAGGATGGACTCTGGGAGCCCGACCAGGTATGCCCTGGCAAAGAGATAATCGGGAATTGACATTGACACCTATTGGTGTTCCTTGGGGAACCCCACCAGCAATCCGTGTTTGGATGATGTTACTGTGGTATTTGCTTGTTGGGCCCATGGTATCTGGCAATGTCAGCCATCAACCCTTCAAATGGTCACTAATACAATTAGAATACTCAGTTGTCATACAAAACAGAATTACCCCGGGCGCTCCCTCTTTCACGGCCCACTTAAGTTCCCTAGTAAGGTCATACCATGGATGGGCCCCCATTGATGAGAGTACTCGCAAGTATACAGTTCAGCGTAAAGCCTTTTATATGTGTCCAGCTAACAATCCAGGAAAAAGATATTGCAATCACCCAGCTGAATATTACTGTGCATATTGGGGCTGTGAAACAATAGCATCAGAATGGGCACCAGGGGGAGGAAAAGACCAATTTTTAACTGTAGGATGGGGACCACCAGGATGTCAAAACCCCACCTATGGGCCTCAAGGTTCGGTTCGGGGAGGCACATGTTGGCATATTTATCTTAACATTTCAAAACCTGAAGATCTAGGATGGACTATAGGGAGAACTTGAGGAATCAGATTTTGAGAACCAGGCACTGATACAGGGGGAATAATTCTAATAAGGAAGGAGCCAGTGCCCAATGAACCCTCCGGTGTGGGACCAAATCCAGT